ATTTTTTTTTTTTTTTTTTTTTTGAGAAAAACAATTTGATACTTGACGGTAAAAAATAATTAAATTCTTAACTGATATCATTGGATCATTGAGAAACGTAATAACTTTCTAAACGGATTATTATATCCATTCAACAATCTTAGGGCAAATATTATCTTTGTATCAAAATTGAAAAAATGAAATAATACTTTGTACAACAAAAAATTTGTAAAATATTAAGATATTTCGAACAATTGTGTTCGAAAGTACACGTTTGCAATTTAAAAGCTTTATTTTCTACGATGAATGCTGAATATTAAAAATAAAAATGTTCTAAGACTTCTAGAACGATAGTACTTAGTTCGCTAATTCATTTAGTTATAAAATGAAATCAAATGCCCGAAATCTTAATAATCCAACATAAATTACTATAGTCATCTATAACCCAAGATATTTGAGAAATCATTTTTAAAATTATTTTTTACCAAGTAATCTACATTCAATCGATATTCCATTGAACTTTAATCCGTAGAATATTAATGAATATCGTCCTTAATTGAAGCGGAGCCCTGCGAGCTATATTGCACCGACACAGAGGAGAGCGTGATCGTTCCATGGGGTGAAGCCGCTCTCGATGGCACACCATGTAACGTTGGCACCAGAGATATGTGCATCGCTGGAATCTGTCGAGTCAGTCATCTTTCTCTCAAATTTTCAACTTACTTTTTCTTTTAAACAAAAAAAAAAAGTCAATCTCAATTTATCAAGCAACTTTTAATCTCATTTTAATTCAACTGAATCAAATAAATTTCAATTTATCCGTGTGCTTCTTATATATTTTTTCCATTATAATCAATGTCGTAGAAAGTTGGCTGCGATTGGACGGTCGATTCGGATGCCACGGAAGATCGTTGCGGAGTCTGCCATGGCGATGGGACTCAATGCGAAACGACAGGCGGAGTTTACGATAAAAATGACGGTCCAGGATATAAGGAAGTGGTCGTTGTCCCCAATGGATCGAGAAACATAAAAATCGAGGAGATTGGAAACAGCAAGAATTATATTGGGATAGGCGTGCCAAATTCTGACAAATATTTCCTTAACGGAAAACGGTAAATAATAAATAAAGATCTGGTATTCTTTATTGATATATTAACCCTTTGCAGATTAATATTTTCTCGTTCCTGATTCTCAACAAAATTATACACTGAAGACTTAAATATTAAGTAAAACAAGAAATAAAGTATTTGTTGTTCTATGAAAATTTAATTGGATATTATTGAATACAGTGCATATTAGAATATAATTTTAACTTATTATTAAAAATTAAGATATTTTCAGTATCCATGATATTTTTCAACGTTGCCATCATAATAGCGGCATTCGATCTGAAAAGTAGCTAGCAAAGGATTAATATCTAGTTGGAAGAAAAACATTCAAAATAACATACATTTTTATATTCAAAATAACATACATCTTTATATTGAGGTGATTAATGTTAAGACATGGTCTAAATCTATTACTTTCATTTCAATTGAACAGGCAGATCACTTTGGCAGGAGAATACCAAGTTGCCGGAACTCCAGCTCTGTATGAACGTGATCGTGATAAAGAGAAGGTCAGAATTCCTGGACCTATCAAAGAAGACATCGCAGTCTATGTACGTATTCAACATTAACTTTAATCACTAGACTGAAGACTTTTATATTTTAAATTCATATTAACTATAATTACAAAAATAGAAGCTCATGTTATAGTAACCATGTACCAAATGTTATAAAAACTATATTTTGGATGTTTTCTATATTTTTTTCATTGATACATTATATACATTATATACATCATTGAATCTTTGTATTTTCATTTATTATATATATATTTATATTTATATATATATTATATGTATACTTTATCATGTTATATACATTCTGTGCGATTTTTTTACTTTCAAATTTCCTATGAATGCATAAAAATTCACAATCACACTATTAATCGCACTTATGTGGTAATTTTTCAATTTTTCTCCTTATCGAATTATCATACCTACCTATCTAAATTTATTAATATATTAATTTACTTTTCATTGATTTTCCACATCCACATATCCGCTACGATTTCTTTAGCTACTTTCTTCTCATTCTCAATAATGTTGTCCCATCACTTCAGTTGATTTCCAGAGGACACTATCGGAATTTCGGACTGCGATACGAGTACACAGTGCCGAAGAAGGAACCTGATCGAGCACCGGAATACTCGTGGATACTTTCCGACTGGTCACTGTGCACGGCCACTTGTGGTGGTGGCACGCAAACCTCGAAAGCACTCTGCAACGAAAAGAAGAGCGGGGTCGTCGAGGATCACTTTTGCGAGAGCATCGAAAGACCGGAATCGATTTTGCGGGAATGCAATCTGAATCCGTGTCCAGCCAGGTAAAATCTAGCCTCGACGAGATAGTGAAAAAAATCGGATTAAAGTCTCCCGGTGGTAATCATAATGGTGAAGTACATTGAATTACAGGCAAATTTTATTTATCGTTCAATTCAACATTTCGATCGCTTGAACGTCAAAACGAGTGCCACTTGACTCGATGAGATCTTCAGATATTTTACTTTCTTTATTGTGATTCGATGTATTCGAAATTTTCTATTTCACCAAAGAAAACTCGAAGAAGAGACTGTTATTCTTGTTGAATTAAATTACTCACCGTAATATATGCTTGATCCGACAAATTCGAATAATAATCAAATATCGATTTATTTCGCCAAAATTAGATGGTGGATCGGTCCATGGCAAATGTGTCCGGTAACATGCGGAGAAGGTGCTCTTCGGAAACGATCGGTAATGTGCGTCTCTTCGGGAGTGGGTCCTGATAGATCGGATTTGGCTCTGCCCGATCGAGACTGCAATCGCGACGTGAGACCCGAAGAAGTCAGTCCATGTCCAAATTTGCCACCTTGTACCTCCACCGAACCACCATTGATCGTCTACGCAGACAACAAAGACGCCTCTTTCTACAACGTGAGCTCGAATGATCAGAGTGGAATCACGATCGTTGATGGTCTTACTACCGAGGAGCCGGAGATCCTCGAATTCGATAATGTGGTTGATGAAAATCCTGATAATTCGATGTACAATACTAAGTCAAAGTGGATCGTTTCAAAATGGAGTCACTGCACGAATGGAAAGAGAAGTAGAAAAGTGACCTGCTCGATGCAAGGAGACTGTAATCCAGAGACCAAGCCGGCCACCATCGAACTTTGCCAAGGTGGCAAATGGGTCACTGGTAAGTTATCTATTGCGCTAATATAAAATATAAATACAATATTAAAAATTCTTTAAACGAATTCTTTAAAAAGAATTACAAACGTTAATCGATCGAAGTAAAGAAAGACTAAGGTGGAATTTTAATTATTTTGCGTAATCAAATTTATCAGTACTACTATTTTTTTTGAAGTCTAGTCTGTTACCAGAAATGCCACAAATGACGATCAACTATATATAAACCTTGATTTTTATGGATATGCCTACAGGAAAATGGGGATCTTGCAACGCGAGCTGTCTTATGAGAGTCGGCGTTAAACGCAGAGAAGTCGAGTGTCGTGATCGTATAACAGAATTGCTGTCTGACGATTGCAACCCTGAGAGAAGACCAATCGATACAAGACGTTGTTATCATAGGCGGCAGTGCGCGAACGATAAATCCGGTAATTGTATACGCAACGGGGAATCGGTCATTAAAGCCTGACCACCTAAACATATGCATGGAAGCCTCATTATTTCTTTTCCTTCATTCTTTTCCTTAATGTGCACGTAGAAAGCAACAGTTTTCATGGACCAATAACCACAAGTGCATATATACGGTTAATTAATGTCTTCCAGCAAACGCTTCATATAGTTTTTTGCAAATGTGTTCTATATTCTTTCATGATATTTTCTAGTTTCTTTTATGATATACATCATAGTTATGTATGTACATATGTGAGGAAAAATGCATAATTTTATTTGACAATTTGCATGATATAAGATTCATAGTAATTTTTACATTTTAATATAGATAATATAGATACGTACATTCTTTTTTACTGCTAGTCATATGATGAAATTAACAAAATTAACATATAATCTATTAATTAATTATAATTAGATTTGCTTATATATTTCAATCAATTTATATTAAGATAAAACAAATATCAACATTAGATAAATAAATAAATATATATATATATAGATATATAGATATTATATAATAAATGTTTGTTTGTTACAGAATGTAAGGATACTATCATACCGGCCTCAATGTGCGGATCATATAGACGCATATGCGACGTATCATTGATCGTGCAGGATAAATGTTGTGCCACGTGTTTCAAAAAACGAAGACATAATCGTCATAATAGAAGACAGATTCTTAATCATTGACAAGTCGGAATACAATAGCTGAGTTGATTAATCTCTGCTTCTTTGTTCTGAGAATATTTTTAGATCCACCCTAAAACAGAATCCGTCCTACATTTGTACTTGTTGGAAAACTACGCAAACATTCCTACACGGCTAAATTAAACAAAATATTTTAATAAAATTAAATTAAATGCAATGGAAAGGTGATGAAAATTCGAAGCGCACTTACATACATTCCGATATGTTATGGATATAAATGATATTGCGGTGTTGTACTTGAAATTCTGAATGTTTCATAAATTTTAATTTCTATGAAGTGTCTGAATAAGGAAATTAATAATATTGTAGATAAATCATTCGTAACTCTTCTAGTTCTAGCAATATAACGGTGCAAATATAAAAGTTAATAAAATTTGCAAGATGTACAAATGTATGTAAAATATGAAAATATATCGTGTGTGTATGTGT